GTAGCTCTTGATATTCCAAATTATATTTTATGGAGGCAAATGAATGCTTTCCTCTGTTTTTCAGTGAGTGGTGGAATGAGGCTCAGAAAAATAAGAAATTGAGACCTAATCCACATGATACGAAAGTCAAGAAGAAACTGCGGGAGTTGCAGCTTTCTTCAGGTTTCCCAAATCCAGCAGTGGCAGAAGCATACCTGAAGCCTGTGGTGGATGAGACAAGGGGTTCGTTCATCTGGGGGAAGCCTGATGTGGAACAGATCAGAGAATATCCTTTTACAATATGGCGGGACTTGTTAGCTAGAAATGCTCAGCTTAAAATTCATAAATCTTAATAGTGAGTCAATAACGAAGTGTCAAATTCTTCACATCTCATTGGTGTGAGGGGCCTCCTGCCCCTTCTGCATGTGCTCTCCTACAATGATGCCAGCTCTGGAATGGAAAGGAATGCAGCCATGCATCTGTGACACTCAGGGCTGCTCTGCACCCCTGAGAGAGCGGGCAGCTTCACTTCCCATGCAGAGTCAGTCTCGTGGCTGGACTGACTAGTTTGTGTTGTTATGTTTCTGTAACTGTGCTGTGCTTATTTCTAGACTTAGAGTGGGAATTGTTTGCACACTCCTGATGTATGTTTACCAATGTTTCACAAATAACTTTCAAAACCTAGTCAGAAATGGTGATTCAGCCTGTGCTTTCACTGTATTTCTTGTAATGTCTATTTCCTGCAGTGAAATGTTGAAAAGTAGGTGACAATGCACGCAGAGCGAATAGTGTTTTAAACAGTGAACAAAACTTCCAGTGTGTGCAAGTGTAAAAAGAAGTTTTATTTGTAGGTTTATTTGTAGGTGTTTTGTCTTATGGCAGTACTGTGTAGCCAAAATGAGTTGTCTTCACAGAGACATGCTTTTGAAAATGTTGATATTAGAGAAAAAGTCTTGTAACTAATAGAGATGTAACAGCATGATTAAGATACAGAGCACAATACCAGAACCATGCACATAACTCAGCTGTAATAACAGTATTTTCTCTGGTTTTGTAGAATAAAAAGCATTGAAGTAGAGTCACTTTGCTCCAGGCATTGTTTATTTGAGGAATTTTCATTCTATGTGTTTATAAAATACTAATAATAGCTATTTTGTGAAGTTCCTTAATTTTCTGCACATTCTGTCAGAATCACTTTGGCTGGACTAGAACAAAGATAGATGAAATCCTTTTGCCTGTGATGAAACAGCTGAACTTGCAGCAGGTAAAGTATAAAACTGTATAGTTTAAAGGTAACCAGAAAATTTTAAGAGAAGCATTTTAAAATGAACAGCAGGGCTTTAATCTAAAATACATTTCTCAGAAACTGGGATTTGGCCTTTTTTAAAACCTTAATATATATATATATTTTTAAAAGTAATTAAATTCTCTAGACTTCATTTCTGTACGATTTGGGTGTGCTGTGGTTTCAGATTTTGTTATCTATCGAGCACATCTCTCAAGTCCAGGTTGCTGTTTGATTTGGATGTAACTGAAACTGCAGGTACCTCGAGCACCTTTAATACTTTTAAAAGGCAGTGTACTGTTTCTAAAAATGATTTATAAAAATGCCCCTGAGATTTTGGTGAAGTGAGACTGACCATTTGGTATCATCCATATCCTTTGAAGAGGAGCTCAGAATTAACCATTGAGCAAGTGCCTGTTAATAATATTACTTTAATTTCCAAATAAATGTTCTGTCTCTCAACTTTAATAAAACTTAAGTCAATAGTGGTGCATACTGTGATACTGTGAAAGTCTGTTGTAAAACTGATCACCCAAGGTCAGAATATTTTCTCCTTTTGCCATAAGCAAAATAGATAGGTAGTCTAAACCAGTGTTCTGGGGTCTCTCTGTCACTCAAAGGAGTGAAAGATACCAAGACCTGTAGTTAAATCTGCATACTTTCAGGTTGACTGGAACATTCTTTGGAAGCGTCTGTCTCAGACAATATTGGGGATAGTATAGAGGATGAGTTTAATCTATACAGCAAGCCTGGCTGTGTCTGAATAACACAGACACATTGTGTCTGACTACTTCTAGTTCTGCTCTTAAATGGTTAGACTGTAGCAGCATGTGTTACAATGAACTTGAGTGGAATGACCTAATTTTGTTGTACTAGCCGTGGCAAATGTAAAATGCACTTGCAAAATTTGCTTAGTAAACATTCTGTTGTTTTAACAGCTTGAAGCTAAGGATGTGATTATAAGGACATACTTGAGAGCGCTACAAAGTTTCTGTGTATTAGGGCTGAAAATAGCAACATATGTCTAAGCAGCAGCACGTTTATAAAATTTCACTGGAGTTTAGTTTGCTTATTATTTAGTTTCTTTGAAAGTTCTTGTTGCATAATTTATAAGGTATAGGTGTGTATATATATAAAATAATGCACGTTATTGTTCAGACCTATTTGCATGCATATTAATTTCATTAGTGCTTTAGTTTGGGATGCTTTATAGTATAGCTGAAATAATTGAATTCCCATCACAAAAGCATCCAAAGTTGTTTTTTTTAATTATTATTTTTTACTTTTAATAGACTCAGCTTCGAATTGATTCATTCTTCAGACTAGCACAGTATGAAAAACAAGCTATTAAAAGTCAGAGGCTGCGCAGAGCTGTGACTTGTCTGAAGAGAAAGGAAAAAGAAGCAGCTGATGAAATTCAGGAGGCCACTGCTGTTATGGAGATTGAACTTAAACAGCGTGAGGAAAGGAAAGGGGAAGGTGCTGCAGGCTGTGGAAATCAAGCTGTGGCAACTGAAGTCCAAAGTAGAAAGAGAAGAAAACATCTAGATTCCAGAAAAGAACATTTATATGGAGGTGGTTTTATTGGGAATTTGCATCTTTCAGAAACTTCTAGTGACTCCTCAGTAGAGGAATTGGAAAGCAGAGATTTAGGCAAAAGCAAAAAGAAAAATATATCTGCAAGGGAGGCAGCAGACCATAAAGAGAAAAAGGGGTGCAGCAGCTCAAGTGGTGAGGATGAAGAACTGGGAAACGTAGTCATGGTGACTGCCAAACCTGTGTTTGAGGGCAGAAAAAAGAAATCTCAGAGCAAGAGAGGAAGAAAAAAGAAGTCTTAAAGGAAAAAAAGTCTTAAAAAGAGACTGTGTGTATGTGGTTTTTTATGAATTAAGCTTTGTAAATATTCTAATGAATTTTTGATAAATAATAAATTATTCCAATATCACATATATTTTTCATGTCATTTTTATGTCCAGAACTTAAATAGGAGGGTGATGAAAAAGAAATTTTAGCACATCTACTCATAAAGACCTAGATTAGACATGATAAGTTCTCTGTTTTGAGATTGTAAATTGAGCCAAAATGTTATGTCCATTTGTGTTCTGAGGTGAGATAGCTGTTAAAAATTGCACGCAATCTGTTGCTTCCTTAACTTCAAATTTAAATGAAATTTTGAAAGCAACATGGATTATTTCTAGGTGCTGAGAGAAGGAAAATAAGTTTAATTAGTGTTGTTTTCCTTATTCCCTTCACTACGCCTGTCTCAAAAGTTTTGTGTTTGAAGTTATGTTGCTTAGCCACCCATTCATGAGACAATGGAAGCCCTAGTAAAATCTCGCAGAAAATCATATGGTATAGTAAGTCCTTATATAATCTGAGGTGCGTAATTATTGATGCTCTGAATGTAAATGTCATGTTTCTAGACTTGGAGTTATGTGACCATGTCCAAAGAATTTGTCTGCAAAAGTGGTGTTCAGAGGTACCAACTGGTTGCAGCACTCATATTGGATTAAGTTGTGAGAGAAACAGTGTGCTAAACTCAGACTTCCCTCCACCTCACCTGTCTTGCTGAATGATTGTAGAGTTTATTTATAGCTCCTATGTATTAAGATGGAAAAGTACTGAATGCTGCCAGTCATACTTGGGTTCTTACATTACATTTTAGTCACCCTTCTTGCTTCCTTCTCATTTAATATTTTACTTAATTTCTTACTGTTTCATTGTTTGAAAGACCAAGTCCATACAAATAAGTTTTGTATGAAACATTAGCATCCCCTAAAAGGATGAAGGGCTGAGGTGAACTGGGTAAGATTTAGCCCTTGTAGTTGCAGAGTCTAACACTGCATGTACAGTGTTTACTGGGCAAAAACTATTCCTTTTGATACTACTTTTGTAAAAGATCATCACTTTTTAAGCAAATTCTTGGCCTGGACAGCCAGTTTACAGCAGCATTTTGTAAATCACTCACTAGTATTACTTTAAAAGTGTAGATTTGATCTTGGTGATTTGTTTTATAGTTTCTAAATGTAAAAGAGCTCCTACTACTTCTACCAAATATGGTAAAGTGCAGAGACCTTCAGTTCTCTGTAGGGCTTGTTTAGTATTCTTGTACAAAAATGTATTTTTTAATGGCACCTAGAAACACAAGTTGAGGTTGAAGTCTAATTTTGCTAAAAACCACGTAATGTGAGAGTTCCTGTCTTGAATTGACTACTGACTAAATAAGAGAAGTCTTAAAGATACTTAAGGTATTTGTTCCCATGACAGTAAGTGGTTGTGATCCATTGAGTGAATGTACTACTTGTATGTACAAAAGAGGAGTGGTATGTGTATATTTATGCACATTGACAGCTGTCTTATGGGGTAAAGCGTGCTAGGATTTTGGGGGTTGTATGCCTTGTTAGAGTTCTGCATTCCAACGTGAGTGCGCATTTATATAACCCTGCCACAGATGCACCCCTGCCCCTTTGTAAATTGCCCTTGGTGCTTGGAAGAACCCTTTGACTCTGAAGAATGATATTTAGCTCTTTGGTTACTTTTTAGGAACAGCGAGTGGTTACTAACACTGTGGTGGTGCTATCTTATTTTTGTAAAAAAGTACTCCGAAGTTGGTTGCTTTGCTGGTTGGAACTCCCTTGACGGTGCCTGCTGCTGTTACGAAACCGGCTCCCTGACGCAAGGGACATGGTGCGTGTGGTGCCCGCTTTGTGCTTGTGCCGCAGCTGTCAGGATTTATTATTGCTGCTGGAGTGGGGGTGTTGGCAGTGCGTGACACGCGCCTTGGAGCGCGCTTCTGCCTGCCAGGGAAACAACTGGGCAGATAAGGACTTTTCTGTTTGAGTACCATCTTCGGAAAGCCACAGGAGATTCAGGTAAGGTTGACTTGAAATGCAGCAGATGCTAGCGGTATTTCACTTGCCTGTGTCTTTAAACTACTTGGTATCATTTACTTTAAACAACGTAACTCAACAACCAAGCTGTTCTGCACTCTTTAGTTGCTTGTACTACTCTTGAATTGCTGTATAAGCCAGACAGGTTGTTGAGTGGTTCAGTGTACCTCAAAGGATATTTTTAGAAGGAAAAAAAAAAAAAAAAAAAAGTAGAGGACCACAAAGTACAAAGGTTTTGCCTTTAAGGGTGATTTTATAGTGCAACATTGCTTGTCCTTCAGAATGCAAAGGGACTGATTATGAACCTGTTATTGTTATCTTCTAATAAGAAAAAGTCTTTTTTAGGCTTCTGAGGTAGATGACAAACTGATAGATTTGTGTTAACATTTACTACTTAATATCCCAGTAGTTTCTAATACTATTTGTTATTCTGAAGATGAATACAAAGACTGAATCCCGTTGAAACTGTTTTCTGTTCCCCATGTAATGATGTTACTATGGCTAAGTTCATAGACATAAATATAATAGTATTTTTGTTCTACAAGTTACAGTGGTGTGTAGAAGCCCCCAGAGTTATTTTTCACCTTCAGATAGGTTAATGGCTGCTGGCATCGTGATGATAAGGTTAAACATTAAACCTGTATGCCTTTTGTAGGGTAACGTCAAGAGAGTATGGTGCATCCTTTCTAGGAAGACAGGCCTGTTCTATGCTGTCGTCCTTTGAAGCACAGAGGAAAATCTGCCTAAGGCTTTGCATTGTGAGGAATTTTTCTTTATATTCGATGTATGCTTTCACTTTGATATTTTTTTTAAATAGATAGAGATACTCCTTCACCCATTGCATTGTTTAATTACATCCCTATTGGGGTTTTAGATGTCTGTAGATTATTAACTGTATTCTGACTCCAACCATTTCTTCAAAAATCGGTGAGATTTCCATATGACAGCATAAGAGCTTTAAAAATTATCAGAGCACTGTTTTGTTTGTTTGTTTGTTTGTTTTTGTGAACTCAGTGTTTTCCTGGTTTTAAAATACCAAGAATTGGAGACTGTTGGTTATCTGTCTGCTTTTCTGCAGACACCTGAATTTTACTCTGTCATACTTTTCCTATTAATTTTTTCACTTGTCTGTATGTTCTGTGTCTTTTTTTATAGGCACATACTCATTCCGTTCTGCATGTTCCCTTCCAAGCCAATTAATTCAAACAAGATTAGACCCTTTTAGTGCAATTTTTCTCATTCAGACATTTGTTGCTACCTTTCCTTTCAATTGTTTCTAAGTCTACCAACCCTGAATTGAATTGATTCTAATTTAAACATTTAATAAAATATTTTAAATGTTTATCAAAGCTCTTTTTTTTTTTTTTTTTCTTTTTAATCTACTTGCTTTTTAATCTCTGAGAGTAGAACAGTTGAACTAGTTTGCTGCTTCTGGTTTCTTTATGCTTTGAATACTGATATTTATGTGTCTACTTGTCTTGATTATCAATAGAAGTAAATTATAGCATAATACATGTAATTTTTTTTTTTTTTGGTGAAGGTTATGTGGGGAAAAAGAATTAAAGCCTTTATTCAGGCAGGCTTGTGTTTCTCTGTCCCAGATTTTGTGGCACAGTATGGATTTGACATCACAACATAATAATCTACAAAATGAACTGATAAGAGAATTGGAAAGACAAGAAGGTAAAATGTTTCTTACTTCATTAAATTATCTTATTGCATTTAGGAATATTGTTAACTATAAGGAACAAAGTGTCATGCTGACCATGAGCTATCTTCTCATTCTTTTTTTTTTTTTTCCCTGTGTTTATGGCACTTGTACAGGAAATACAACAGATAGCGCTGTTGTAGTATTCTACCTATGCAGTAAGTATCTGCTATGCCCGCATACTCTGGTCCTGGTGGTTTCCTACCAGTGCCTGGCATCTTGCCTGCAACTGGTTCCAGGGAATGAAGCCAGGATTATGATCAAGCTATTCAGGAGAGGTTTGTTAGCGGGGTGTCAATTAGGGAGAATTGGTCATTACAAGCTTGGTTTCTGTCTAGACAGCCTCAAATCTAATCTTCAGATACCTTCAGGGGCTGTTGTCAGCTTTTTCTCTTAAGCAAGTTCATGGCTGCACATCTTTCAAGATCCTAAAGCATCATGAGCAGTCTCCTTTTAGGGGTCACCAGGAGTAAACAAGGTTTTAGGGCAAGTGCATGTGGGTTTTTTGGATGTGGTTTAGTTACATTCTACAGTTGAATATGAAAGGAGAGTTTTTAAAAAAATATGTTTTATTTTTCATAATATTTTTATTTAAAATCTCAGCTGAGTCTTGGTGCATGTAAAGCCAGACTTTTGGGCTTCTGCTTTTTCGAGAGAACTCAGTGTCTGGTTTTGCTTTGCTACCTGTTCAGCGAGGCAAGGTGGAGATTTGGACCTGACTTCGATACTTAAAACAAATTATTTGCTTAATGAAACTAATGTTTGTTATTTTGTTTTTGAATACTTTTTTAAAGTACCCCAAATCGATGACCTTCTCTGGAAAGCTGACATTGCACAAGAAGGTGGCTGATAGAGATTGGTATAGATTGCTCTTCCACAAATCACTGTTCAAGTGCTTTTATCTGGAGATTTTCTTTAATGCAATTCCCTTTCCCATTGTGTAATTCTAACTTGAACAAAGTGCTCAAGTTGATCCCATGCAAAGAAGCATGAGCATTGGGGGAAGAAATAGCTAGAAGTATAAATATTAAAGACAGAGCTACTAAAGACTGAAATATTGATGACTGTCACTATGTATTCTGTAGTACATAAGGGCTGAAGTGGTGCAGGCATTTCTATGCTTCTGCAAGCTTGGCTCTCTAATATTGATGTTCCTTTCATGCAGGATTCAGGGTGGGGAGGAGTGAGTCTACATGTAATTTTTTAAGCTTTTGAATTATGAAAATAAATTGAGTTCTGGGACATTAGGTCGATGTATTCAAAATTAGCCGATAGGGCAGAATCTTTAGATCAAATATAGAAATATATTCCACTTAGCTAACAGAGTAACTGTGTTGATAGCAATAGCAGATAGCTCTCTTCCATGTCTAGAAAAACTAGTTTAAGAGTATGAGGGGACATGAATGGAAAATGGATTATCTTTACAGTTTCATCTGACATCAGACTTTGGCATATTAAGTTCCATGCCAGGTGGAAGAGTGCTGAATATGCTGCATGGAGACTTATCTGCTCAGTCACCGTGAGCCTGTGCCTTCCTTGTTCTCATCCTTTTCCTCTACCGCCTTCCCCATTGTCATTTCATTTGACTCCACCTATCCAGTCTCAACCTCTGTTTCTTGGGGTTCTTCCTCCAGTTCAGTTTCTCTGCAAGTTCCAGTCTGAGCTCTTTATATTTTGTGCCTTCCCCTTTCCTTCTTAATCGTCTTGTCACAAGGTCTCCAGGTTAAAACTCTTCATTCTTGTTCATGATTGCCATTACTACTGGTTCTCAGCTCACAGGCAGGTCCTCATCCAGTCTGATCTTTCCTCTGGTGTCTTTATCCAATCAGTTCTCCTTCACACCTATATCTTTTCTTTCCTCTCATGATTTCTCTTGATCACTAGCTTTAACTCTGCTTGGCTAAACTTTTCTAAGATAAGATTCTTCCACTCTCGTCTTGAATTCTTCATACTGAATTACTTTACCACAGTTGCATTATTTAAACTCGCACCAGAATAATTTTATCTCTGAGACAAAAGGAGGAGAGCAAGTTTGCAAACCATACTTGTCCTTGACACTCCATTATCTCACTTCACTTGGCCAGGGCTCAGTTTTTAATCCATAAATATCGTGAGAAAATGCTGACCTGGTAACCTTCACATATCTTCCAGCGTTTTAGAAGGGACACACTCCTTCTTACTCACCCTGCTTGACAGATGTCCTAATTGATAGCAATTTGTGCAGTCATTTCAGGTCTCTAGGTGGAGTCCAGAAAGATGCCTTAGATGGGACATTGTTGGAAGGGAGGCAAGTGAAAAGCAGCCTGACCCTGTAACTTAGAAATTCAGCTGGGAAGAGGGAGTGACTTAGCGTCTCATTCCTTCTTGCTGGATTACTTCTAAAGACACTTCTTGCCTTTCTCACACCCTTCCCCACTAACACTTTTCCATTGACTTCAGAGACTTTGCTATAAAATGTGAAAACCAGCCTGGGACCAGAGCATGGAGCCCAAGTCTGCTTCTTCACAATGGAATGCCCAATTCATAGCTGGGCTTTTCCTTGTTTGTTGTCTTTGTAACATGATTCTTGCAATCCTGGTTTTCTGATAGCCTTCCTCAGGTGGTGATGGAGGGGAGGGGAAGCACCTGCTTCTGTGGGGTGGCTGGAACACAGTCCTTGGGCGAATGAGTTGCAAATTTGAATCCTTCTGCGGAAGGTCCAGCACCCAGTTCCTCCATTTTCTGAGTGCTTAAATTGATGAACCATTCTTTATATAGCAGACTTTTCAATTAACAGTGATGGTTAAAAAATGAGCCTATCTATACCATATATAAATGACATTTTTGCTATATCTTCCTACCACTTGCCTTCCCTTCTTTCATCTTCCTCTTTTTTGTCTCTTAGCTTTGAATTAAGCTTCTATCTTAACAAAACAAAACAAAAAAGACAACCAAACAACCTATTCCATTAATTCTTATCTCAAAACATGAAAAAGAAATCCCAAACTCATAGAAGTCATGCCATTAGTTACCTATGTATTTTTAATTCATTGCAGGATTGACCTGAAATATCAGAACTCAAATTCTACTCCTCTTAGGCAACAAACTGTCTCCACAGAAAGACTAAAAGAGTTAGCGTGGAATAAGAGAGGAGTATAAACCAATTAAGGAGTGACTAGAGCTAAACTGCACCTTCACAGCAAATCAGAGCAGTCTAAAAATACATCTTCTCTGAATGTCTGAGCTCTTTTGTTTGAAAGTGGCAGCATTCAAATATTATAGTAAACATCAGGTATATTAATTTGATGAATTAATACTTCTCTGTTCTTTTTCTCTCCTCCCATCAAGTAGACCTGCTTTAGCTGAAGATATTGCTAAACCTAAATGGAAATTTCTTTTGTATGGATAGAACAGAAATTGGAGGCAACACTCAGATAATCAAAGCATGCGTTAACTCTGTAGAGAATTCTGTAACATATTCTCCCCTCTCAGCCATGTGCTTGTCTTTTCTGTTTTCACATCTTTCCCCTCTACAGTAGCTGCATTTCATCACTAAGTTAAATATTTCTCAACTACCACACAAGAAAGATCGTATGTTTGCATGGATTGGTTTTTGGGTTACTTTCAGGTCCTTTCCTCAAAGGAATATTTTAGAAATCCAGAATTATTGGTAGGGGAAATTGGCAGGCATTTTATTGAGTCCCTTCTGTTCCACTGGCTGTGGCACCTGGTGTGTTCTGGCATGCTGTTACAAGGAAGTAAGAGCTTTCAATGTCACAAAGCCCTCTTGACCCAGCAAGGTAAAAAATGGCTTACAGTGTCTAAATTACTCATTCAGAGCCTTCCTATCCATCAGGAAATTAGCTGTTGGCCTTTTATAATGTACATTAGACTTTCTAATTTAAGAAAACAGTCTGCTTTTATCGTCAAATCATTGAGTTATCTTTAGAGATTAAATAGCTGCTGAGCCTAGACCTGTAGATGGTTTCAATGACAGACAAACATGAGGAAGAAACAAGGGAAGTACCTGACACGTTTGAATTCATTATGTGTACATGAGATAATCTGACTACAGTACTTCTATTTTTCAGTCTTCTAATTGTTTTGGATGACTGGTGACTTGGATGGGTCTGGGATATCAGTGATGTGAATTTCAAATTGAAAATGTGCCTTTCAAGCCTGGGTAAATACAAAGACTGGATACTGTGAGCATACCCCTCTCCTATTCTTGGTCTCCTCATGCTCTGAGCTAAGTGCACCTTGTCTCTTGGCTGTGAAAAGGCTGCCCGTGGGCAGCAGTTTTGTATTTCTGCATTTCAAAGTATAAAGTTTCAAGCATTATATTACCCTGACGTAGTATCTCAGATTAATCAATATAATATACCTTGTTGTTGCCGTCACTTCAGCAGATTGAGCTTGTAATGCATGTACTTGAATGCCTATGCTTGATTACATGATCATTTGCCTTTTTGTAGGTAGGGATGAAGTAAGGAAAAATTCACTGTGTAGTTTAGATGAGTACTGGAACAGTACTTAGAAAGGTGTAGGTTACATCTTGACGTCTGAAAAGTCAAGCACATGATAAGACTTCCCTCCTAACCCCTTCCTTTAAGGGTCTGTAGCTGTAATGGAATAGAATGAAGTAGAAATAAGTATATATAATGAAATAAATATACTTAAGTGATACCATCTGTGATTTGGGGACTATTCTGTGATTCAGGATTGATTATGTTTCCATGGAGCCATCTGTAATGCTTGCCAGACCAGGGCTCTGATCCTGAGATGTCAGTAGGTCAGTAAAAATTGTGATACTCGAGTCCCTTAGAACTGGGACCTCATGTGGATTTGGGGTAAAATTCTGAGCCATTGGAAGTACCTGCATGGGTTCATAGGGATGCCTTCTGATGATTCCTATCAGTGTAGTAATGTAATTATTCTCCAGTCATCTCTTACAGTTACAGAACTGGTTGCAGATCTGTTCCCTTACTGATCTTTC